TTTTTTGCTAATCTAGCCGGTCGGCCCAAAAAGTTCTGGCAACACTGTTGGCCATTAATTAAGTACGAATACAATTGCAAATAATTTATTCGTTGATAGACTGGTGTTGCCACATAAGACAGTGTAAATTTTTATTTGGGGTATTCACACCTGCCTGGTTATCGGGTTATCTGATTAAAAATTATTTTGTTTTTGTAAACTGAGTAAAAAATATAACCAAATAAACTAAGATCAAGATTAAGGTATTGTTCCATTATCACGTAGAAAAATACTCACATAATATTGTAAGCTTTACTTTAGTCGCGCGTGGAATCCACGCACAATTTTTTTTTTTTTCGTTTAAATGTAGTTTGCTATTTTATCAAAGTTATTTATCGAATCCCTTAAACTATTTGTAATTTCTTACATTAAATGAGCATATCTTTGTATGTGTATTAGGGTGCATCACACTCCATACAAAAAAAGGGTACTATTTTTCCATCGGGACTATAAATTTTGTTTTATGTTTTAAGACTTCCGCAGAAATATTTCGGGAAGATATTAAGATTTACGTGAGCTAAACACATTTGAAAAGACATCCAAAAATGTAGTTGTCTACAAATACAATTGATTTTTAACCGACTTCAAAATAAGGAGGAAGGTTATCAATTCGTCGGAATATTTTTAATGCGTGTTACCGATAACTTTGGACAAGGCGAAACGGAAAGGGTTTAGTTCATTGGATCATGAATAGTCTAACGGTACTCATGAAATTGTATATGAACATCAGTTGATAGAAGAGTTTAAGCTTAAATGGTCTGCATAAAATGTTTACAAATTGTATCAACCGAATCAAAATACATAATGAAATTTTTCGTGTTATTTCCAAATCGGTCTAGCACAAGTGAGTCTTAATATTTTGCCGAAATATTTTGGCGGAAGTATAGTATATTTTGTATAAAAAAAATTGTTTTTTTATTAAATACACTTTTCACATCGTAAATATAGTGCATTTATGCCAGTGACAAAATATAGCCGCATTCATCTCTTTGTCGTCCGTTACTCTTTTTTAATTATGAAAAAAGCAAAAAGTTACACTCCGGACTGTAAGGTGGGTGACAAATTTCTGTTAATCCAACCGTTTTTTGAGGCATCCCTCGCAACCCGCGTAGTGTGCACAAGCCCGTTTTTTTCAGAAATTTGCGCCCGCGCCAGCTTTACACATCTCTACTGTATGTCTGCGTTATGTGTCTGACCCACGAAACTAGCATAAATAGTACTAGCCGCTCAATCTAGTCGCAATTGATTAATAAATAAAATTCCCTTGCTATCATTGAAAATTAAAGCCACGATCTTTGACGAAGACTTTTCCATTATGAATCTCTTTTGTAGCTTTTGTCCCCTTTTTATCCACAGCATCGACTTTGGGTTGAAATCCACTACATACTGACGCATCTAGGTTTCATCGATTGACAAAATGTGATTGCAAACCATAAGTCAAAAGAATTTGAACTTTGATATGAAGTCATATCTATGGTAGGTTCTTATGTTAAGTTATATATAAATGAGTTTGTAAAAAGCGGCGTGGCACATCCCATAGTCGTGGAATTTTGTTTGAGCTATAACTTCGGAAATATAAGTCAGAATTTGAAATTTGATATGAAGTCATATCTATGTTAAGGTTTATATGTATAAATGAGTTTGTAAAAATGGGCGTGGCACATCCGATAGGCGTGGAATTTTTAATCAGCCATAACTTCGGAACCATAAGTCACATGAACTTGAAATTTGGTATGCAAACATATCTATGGTAGGTACTTATTGTAGGCTATATATATATATGAGTTTGTAAAAGGGGGCGTGGCACCTCCCATAGGCGTGGAGTTTTGTTTCAGCTATAACTTCGGAGACATACATCGCATGAATTTGAAAACTGATATGAAGTCATATCTATGGTAGATGCTTAAGTTAAGGTTTATATAAATGAGTTTGTTTAAAGACGTGGGGTGAAACCCGCGGGTAAAAGCTAGTAGTTTATATTATTAGAATGTGCCTCATTACGCTATTTTTAGCAAGAAATTTTAGAAAAATTATTTTCATACAAATTTTTTAAAACATTTCGTTGGGTAAAATTATTTTTCCCTTATTCTTTGACGAGATTTTCTCTAATATACTCTGTATCGATAGGAGAGTGGTCTGTTTTTACTTAGAATTTTAATAGGGTTGTCACCTGTCTAAAAGACTATAAGATCCGCACCGTTCGTTGGACTACAAACAATGAGGTGTCAAATGAAAGGGATTACCCTCTAGACAAACATAAATGTTTTATTCTTTTGAGTAGGGTTGCCACCTGTTAAGAATATTACTAAATTCAATCTTAATTGGCGAAGATATCTTTTCTGTACCGTCATTGTCAAACGAAAAGACCTAGCCTTTAGATGTGCAAAAATGTATTATTTTTTTTAAAGTAAGGTTGCCACCTGTGTTATACTTATAAGATCTTCAGTGTTCGTTGGATAACAAATTCCTTGTTTATATGACATCAAACGCGGTATCTAATTAACTCGTGGCAGTGTAGCTCGCTTAAAATGCAAGTGTTTATATGCAACAAAAGAAATGAGTCGATCGAACACGCTTTCAAACAGAGTTCATCCCAATGCAACCCTGTTAATACATGTGCCAATTCTTGAAAATAATAAAGATGGAAAAATAATGATTTAAGACTCAAACGGCCATGAAAAAATAATATTAGCTATTAATTTTATAACAAAGCTTAGCCTAAGCGTAATTTCAAGAACTATGTAAATGTTTTACCTCATACAGAGTTGCATGAAATAACCGTGTGGAGAAATCGCGTGCTTATATGAACAACATAACTGAAAGCACCTACTTAGCCTTGTGTACCGCCCACTCATATTTTCACTTAGGCATACGAATTCCATTTCTGCTAAAAGCAAACGCGATACTCACAGGTGCTTACTTTAAAAAAAAAAAAAAACAAGTAAACACACAAAGATGATAAACGGCAACGACAGCGACGACGTTGACTGATCGCAGGTACCTTAGCTCAAACTCAAAACTCTAGTCGGTCGATTTGTCGGAGAAAAGCAGCTATAAAAGCACGCACGAGGGTGGTCCAAAAATGCATGTGAAAAAGTAAAGTCGGAATTTTTATGTTCTCACCACCTAGGATTGTTCTATATCCAGTAAATATGTACCCATATTTTTTTTTAATTTGAAATCAAAAAATATTTAGAGGTCGCTCAAAGCGCGCGTAGTTTTCCATGTATTTTATATGGAAAAAAACAACTTTTCGTAGAAATAGTATAAAATTTTTGAAAACCCATATTTTTCTACCGGAAAACTCCGTTTCTCTTCAAGAGATTCCCAGTAATAATGCCCAATTATTTTTTTAACCATTTTTCATGGTAACTATATTTTATAGATCCGCCAAAATCCCTATAAAATGCCAGAAAATGCAATGGGGGAAAAAATAAAAAAACTTTATTATTAAAAAATGGTTAAATGGAAGTCTCCTGAAGAGAACCGAGGTTATCCGATCAAAAAATATTGATTTTGAAGAATTCCATTCCATTTACGCGAAAAGGGGTTTTTCTCCCATATAAAATACATAGAAAACTTTGAGAGCTTTGAGCGACGTCTAAATATTTTTTAATTTCAAAATATAAAAAATAGGGGGTATATTTTTTTCGATATACAACAATACTAGCGGGTGAGAGCATTAAAATTCCGACTTTACTTATTTTGGACCACCCTAATGTACACACTAGGTATAAATATTCATATTTACACTCTCGAGATATCAGTTCGCAGCTCACAATGAAATTACGCTGCGACAAACAAAACGTTAATAACAAAAAATGGCGAGCTTTATATTAGCGCGAAGCATTGGACAAATCGCACGCTGCAAAATCAAGCTCGCGAAATATTTTATCGCATGAGTTTAATACACAATAGAGGTGAAGGTAAGCTGGTTGGTGGACAGATCTCCGAACAGGCAAGACCAGGAAGCGATGGAATAGAAACAAAGCCAAACCAGTGACCCAAAAAAAAATGATAAAAATAGTAAAGGTAAATGAAAAGAAAGACGAAAGAAAAAATCGGAGTAGAATACAAATAATCACAGATAATTACAGCGGAGAAAATAGAAAGGCAAATCAAAGTAACAACAAAGAAGAACGTTAGAAAACCGGTATACTTGCTGTGACGAAGCAATCAGCATTCCGTAATAATAAAACTCTTATCGAAATTCGAAACCCTCGCGCATACACAGACGCACTTACATACATACATACATACACATACATATGCAGTTAATTCGTCCGTATGATTCGTGTTGGCAGAACAATCACAAAAGTCGTAAGTTCAATATAATAAAATTAGAAAAAAAGAATAAGCGATAATGGTAGAACTTCTTCGAAATTCATAACCTTTCAGCGCAGGTGTTAGTATGAAATGGGAATCGGTGAGTCGTGGTGCTCTACTCAACAAACGTCAAAGTTATAGCAGCAAACAAAAAGCTCTTAAACGGTACACAAATTTTGGGCAAACGGAATCGGTGACAACTTAACATTCGAAAACCAGTTCAGCTGCTACTAAAGAACGAGTTATACAAAAAAAAAAAACAAAACAAAACTAGCGCAAACTCATTGTCGCCAAACCGTACGTTATTGGCATATGCAAAGATAAAGAATTCGAAAACTTCCGTGTAGCTTCTGCGCCGCCGCAGCAATTATGGACCCATGTATGAAGCTGTCACTCGACCTGCCGGAAACCAGCTACGTGTACGATGATACTGCCGCCACGCGCAGTGTCAGTAAGCCGATGGCACCCACGTCCATTGTGGCTAAAGTTTCACCCAATGGTCTAATCGAATTGAGCGAACATTTTTACATCAACCACAGCAAGCAAAACGAACCCATCAGGGTTGAGGTGCAATTGAAAGCCGAAGGAATCTTTTTACGTCGCGAAACAGGCGTGCCAGATGAAGTCTGCGAACAGCGTATACCATTGTCGGATATAATTGGCAGCAGCTGCGGACCACGCATGAAGAAATCTCATCGCGGCAGCTTGGTCTCTTGTCGGCGCATAGACGAAGATACGGAGGTGGAAAATGGAACGCGGAAGGATATTTGCGCCTATTTGCATATTTATGCTTACATCAAGAGCGAGACGAGCGATAAGAGTTCGGTGCGTCGCGAGCGCACAGTGCGTATTTTGCGCTTTCGCTCATTCGACACTTACGAGGAGAACTTGAAGGTGGCTGAACGTTGGCAACATGCCATACGCATCAATCAGTCAGCGGTCAAAAATCAGTTGGGTGAGAAACAACTGCTTATCTTTCTAAATCCCAAATCCGGGAAGGGTAAAGGACGCGAGATGTTCCACAAACAGGTGGCGCCTTTGCTCAAGGAGGCGGAAATGCCATATGAATTACATGTGACCGCACACATCAACTATGCACGCGAGTTCGTGCGCAAACACAACGATCTATTGCGCTGCTACAGTGGCATAGTGGTCGCTTCAGGCGATGGTCTATTCTTTGAAGTGCTCAATGGCATAATGGAGCGCGAGGATTGGCGTGCGATCACGCGTGGATTACCTATAGGTATCATACCCTGTGGCTCGGGTAATGGACTCGCGCGTAGCATTGCCTATCTCTATAAGGAACCATACGAACCAAAGCCGATACTATATGCGACGCTGACATGCGTTGCGGGTCAGCGTGCGCCGATGGATATTGTACGCATCGATTCGGGAAAAGAAGGTAAATCTAGTGAAATTTATTCGTTCCTCTCAGTCGGTTGGGGTCTTATTGCCGATATTGATATCGAGAGTGAGCGTTTGCGTTCCATTGGCGCCACGCGCTTCACCTTCTGGAGCATACGCCGGCTGATCGGTCTACGTACTTACACAGGGAAACTCTCCTATCTACGTTGTGAGCAGAAGAATGAGCGCAAAACTTATGGCAAGCTGGTTTCTTCCACATCAAATGAGGAACAACGTTTGCCACCAGAGGTGCAGGAATTTCATGACATACCAAACCCACCGAGAGACGAAAGGCCAGACAACTCTCGTCCACTTGCCGATGCTGAAGAGGATGATGAGTTTGCAGATGCCATTTCATTGGATGGTGCTAGCAACCAATCGTACGTTGATAGTTGGCATTCAGCTGTATCGAAACACACCGCCTACTTTTCTCTCGCCGCCCAAAGTTTGCGCTCGCGTCGCAGCGTATTAAGCCGCCTTGAAACGATCAATTTGGAATATGAAAATCGTCGGCCACCGTCTACACTGCCAACGCTCGATCAGCCAGTGCCTACAGATACATGGCATACCGAAGAGGGTGAATATGTAATGGTACATGCAGCCTACACTACACATCTATCCTCAGACTGTTTTTTCGCGCCCCAGTCACTTCTCAATGATGGCATCATCTACTTGGTTATAATACGTGCTGGCGTAAGTCGTTCACAACTGGCACAGTTTCTACTAGGTACCAGCTCAGGTACACACCTACCGAAGGAGCCAAATGAATATATTGAAGTGGTGCCGGTGCGTGCATTCCGCATTGAACCCTGCTCCGACAAAGAAGGTATTATAACAGTGGATGGCGAACGTGTGGACTATGGACCCATACAAGGTGAAGTACTGCGGGGTGTGATAAATGTCATGGTGCCGAGTCCAAATTGCACAAACTAGTTTGCCAACCTGCTAGACTTGGTAGATTGTTGGAATATTTATTTTTTTTTCCTGTTATCCATATGTACTTAAATATGATGCCAGTTGACTGTATATTGCAGACATCCCTTTAGTTTTAGAAAATAGTTAGTATTTTATTGTTTCTCTATTATTGTTACTGAGTGATATGTACAATTGTGTACGTATGTAGTATGTATGTACATATACAAATTTTTAATAAAGAACTTATCGCTCATTTACTAATAGACTGACATAACTGAGAAACCCCAAGGTTTTCAGGAGGCGCGTTTTAAGTTTTCAATATTCTCCCAAAATGCAGGAAAACGTTATGCATATTGTCTTCATACGCGGTGACTACATATGATTTGAGCACGAAATTTTTACACAATATGAAGCATATAGTAATGAGTAATTTTGCATAATTTTCTTTAAAGTTTGTCTTTTGAGTTATGAGGGTCTGTGTTAATTAATGAGCGATATGTATGTAAATATATTGAAACTTTTCTTGTTTTGAGTGGTATCAATCGCTGATAACAGCGCGAATGGGCAAACCAATTGTTGTTTATTATGATTGAAATTATTAAGATTAGATTAAATTATTAGTTTTTATCAATAATACGCCCAATTGTTACATCAGCAGGCCAGTTGCGTAGAGCTTCGTTATTTCAGTAGAAAGGACGCTTTTTATAATTATTCGATCTACAAATGTGCCTAAAAATATGCAACGTGTCTAGAGGAAGATTATTTGCCCATTATACATAGTGATACTTACATATACCTCTGAGGCTTTGATGTAGCATAATTTTAGTCACACTTGTTACCCATTTACAAATTTATAGCAATTGAATTTTAGCAAAGCAATTTCAACAATCTTACTACTGGAAGGTTGAACATTGAATTAACTTGTAAAAATACCTATGCGATGCGATGTGGCCAGATCATTGGAGTGAGAGAAATCGTCTCCTGTCTTCTCTAAAATCGTCTTTTGAATACGAAAATCGTCCACATACAAAATCTCCAACTAAACAGTAGAAATACAAGATTTTCATTGATTAATGTTGTACATCACAAACTGAATAAGGAATTCAAAAAAGTCAACATCAATTATCAAGAAAAAATTATAATTTCATTTTATCCTACACACTATTTATTTGTTCAGCGCGAGATCTAATCTTTCGAAAAGTAAAGCGCTGTACCTACCGAGTCTCATAATTTTAATATACGCCGTCTTTTGTTTGATATTGACAAGCTACTTAGTAGCTAAATCTTGGTAAAATAAAAAAAAACAAAGCCGCCCGGCTCAATTGTGGATTTTTTTTTGCTTTTTATTAATGACAAGTCTGCCTCCGAGTGGAAGTACAAGCCATTCCAGTGCGCCTTTCTAACTAAAAGCTAACCTATAATCTGACTAAACTTTTCAGTGAAACATGAATCTCAAAACAATATAAGATTCACTTTTATCGCCAATACGCTATTTTTGGCAATGAAATAATTTAGGCAAAAAACAACACGACGAAATATATAAGTGGTAGTTTGGTGGTTGCAACTATTGCCACGCGCATTTGATTTTTTATAGAACTGGGTTAACAATTTATTATTTCTTGGCGCGTGTACATACAAATGTGTGTGCGTGTTCCTTTCATCTATCTCCGAACCGGTAGCCGAATAGACAGGCGAATAGAAAAGCAAAGCATGGAAACAATTCATAATGCAAAAATTATTGAAAACCATTCGACTGCGGCCAACCAGTCGGTAATGCAAGCAAAACCAAATTTTATTTGGCTAGCCAAGCAACGTACTGACTAAAATATCGAAAATAGCTAAAAGCACAATTAAACTAAATTCATTCAACTGAAGAACTGAAGAGCAGCAGTATGAAAAAGAGATGTATGTACTACTGCGCTGACTAGAATGACTGCGACAATGTCGGTCGGTGCATATTTCCAGTCTGATTCATTCATAAACAACAGCCGGCGATAAATTGATGATGATATATGTATGTATGTACAGATGTATGCATAGACTTGCAAATATCTGTGTACAAGAACGTGGCCAGGGAGGGGTAGACTTAACGGGCTTATGGTCCCTATGGTGCTTAAAATTACAAGCTATCCTTTTTCGAATACCATTTTTGATACTTAGGGCCCGTTTTAGCTTAGATTACGTAAACTGTGTTTATCTTGAACAGCTGGCTGGCATTTAATTGGCTAATCTTGGTTCGAACTAGTCAACTCGTGTGTTTAAACAAAGTTTAAACCACAGCCGTACACTGAAAAACTGGCCCTTAAAGTGAAAATCAAAACCAAGAAACTTCGACACAGTGCGTATTACTAGGTGGCAATATATACATTTTGATGCTTGTTAATTTTAAGTAATTTTAAAACCAAAGACATTTTTAGAATCTAGAAGTCGCCAGGATCAATGAGAAACCAGAATCAGTTTTTGACAAGACCCCATAAAAAAATATTTGGAGCTTACACATTTCCGAGTTTTTGCCGAGCTTCTCGTCCGATTTATGATGTGCACCTTGATGTCGTCACGCAAAGGGGAGGGATCTACCGTTCAACACCGCCGACCGAACGAAAAATCTTTTTGTTTGAGGAGCTTTTTTCGTGGCTGAAATATATGCGCCTTTCGAGGCACGACCGTTATTAGAAAAAATTATGTTGCTCGAACCAATTATGGAACCCTGCACGTACCGAGTGGTAGTGCGCACCTCTAACCACTCGCAAATAAAATTGTTAAAAAATTGCATAAGCAAAAGAAAAGAATCCCCCTCTTTGCCATATCTTGGTCGCGCCAGTGGGCACACATAAAAGAATATAATATAAACACGTTCATATGGATATGAAGGTATTTAAATAAAAGTGAATAATACGAATACTCATTGAACGCAAGGAAATACTTGTTGAGCGGCAGCGGTAGCCATAAATACAGATGCGTGCGTGCACATGTGGAAAGTAAAATTTAGATCGCGTGCAGTGTTGGCAAAGTTGCCGCAACCCAAACGGAAAACAGCCGTAGCAAATAAATAAATAAAATTGAAATTGACGCTATGATTCATACGACATTAGACTGAGTTAGTTTAGTTGTTTTTGGATATTGAATCCGTACGGCGTATGCAAAAAAATAAAAACAAAAAACATTATACATACTTATTTTAACAAGTAGTGCATGACTATCTTTTGAAAACTTGAGTACCCGCCGATAGCTATAGAAAGTTACCGAATTTAGGTGGATGGCAAACATTAGGAGTGGAGCTTGTTATTCGCCCCTCGGCAGGCAATGGCAAAACGCCCAGTGGATTTTTGTCATGATTTCGTTTCTGCCAAAAAAATTGTGCCCTTCCACGGTGCAAAATATGTTTGATGTTGCACTCAGCCTTGTAAAAGAGCATGTTTTTGCCTTCTTATCCTGTCTCTTTTGCCCTCTTCAAAGGGCAGAGTCCTCACAAGAGTGTGCCATTTTAAAAAACGAACACATAATTAGTTCACCGTTTCCCTTGATTTAAGAATCGAACACGAAAAGGGAAAAGGACAATAAAAAGGCGACATTTTGTAGCAGAAATTAATAGAATATTAGTGTTTTTTTGCAATAATTAAGCAGGATAAGCCTTCTTTACATTGCGTATAAGGTCCTATCGACGATGCTGTGTGAAATACGAACTGCCGGTTTCACTGCTATTGATTGAATTTACTAGAAAAAAAATCATTTTTCAATTAAATTGGTTTCGTGAAACTTGCTATATATGTAGTTCATAAATCATCTGATTGGACCTTATCAGATCAAACATTTTGGTACCACGCAAAACTAATACGGCTATGTGGAATGACGTCGAGCGCAAACTTTAGCTCCGTCCAATTTGACCAAAGAGGTTTAATACGGGGCGACATCTTTCGGACAACTTCTTCAATCTGACATTGGAGAGCGTACATTGGCATCAATGACCTCAACAGGGAAGTAACCGCAGGACACTCCAACTTTAAGAAGAGGGTTAGCCTAGCATTGAACGAGGACAAAACAAAATATCACCCGGTAACCGTTAAATAGCCTTGTGACGGACGTTAATGTTGGTAATTACATATAACTTTGAAATAGCGATGTACTTTGAATACCCAAAGATCCAGCATTAACACCACCAATAATGTCCTGGGAAGCTGAAGATCAAGTAAAGTGTAACTCTTGTCAATACTTGGACTCGGCATGCAATTGAAAAACAGAGCTATTCTCGTGGCCGAGGGGTGCCGAAGTAAATGGAATGACGAGCTATGTTATATACCGACGGCTGAGTCGAAGATCGGCCTATCTCGGCAGCCGGTTCGAAAACGCACTATGTCAAACTTTTCAAAACGGTATCTCAACTGAAAATTTATTGAAAATAAGTTGAGATACGGAATTTTTGAGTAGGCACCTGAGACAGATCGTTTTTGAACCGAATTCTGAAATAGGGCGTTCTTAAAAAGTTTTCTAAGATAGGGCGTTTTCGAACTGCCTGCGGAGATAGGTCGATCTTCCATGCAACCGTCGATATCAGCTTTAGAATAACATAATCATAGATAAGCGTATAAAAATACGAAGACTGCTTTGGAAAAAGTCTGCCCAAACACCTTTGCCTTTTGGTATAAGCAACCGGCGCAACTTTGCAACGGAGAGAAGAAACTAGCGAAGCGCCAAATATGCAGAAAAGAAAAGGAAGAGCTCATGGGCGTAGCCAGGTAGGGGCGGGGGGTGCTCGAGCCCCCCCTAACTTTCAAATTTTCCTTATATATATATAAAATAGTACCCTGAAATGCCAGCTTAATAGGGTCGAGCCNCCCCCCCCCCAAATTTCATTCTGGCTACGCCGATGGGAAGAGCTCATGGCTCGAAAGTCTGTCCTAAGGCTGAACCTATTCTGATTATTATTAGCCTCGAGTACTGGACAGAAATTCATTCGAAAACAACATTTTATTTTTCTCTCACAAAATATTTATCTTCTACAAAACAGCAGCAAACACATGCAACAAACTTTATAGTTGGCACGAACGAAGCTTTACGATACTTTAACGGCTGCACCTTGACAAAGTTGTAAATACTTAAGTGCACAGGAGTGCATATAAGGATTACTTAGTTACATGTGTTGCATGTTGCCACATGGTGGACTAGTCGTAAATTCCGACACAGGTTCCACTCTAGTGGAATGCAATTCCTTACACAGTGCACTTAAGCTTGATTAACTGCAAAAGAAAGGAGAGCGCACATCTGTAGAAAAAAAAATATGGGTAGAAGATAAAGGTAGCTTGAAAGCAAACGCAAAACAAATAAGCACATATGCACATATTTACGTACACAATAAATATGTACATATGTATGTGTAAAATAAAAAAGTACATTTTTTGTTTATATACACGACTCACCGAGTAATGGTACACACAACGAAATTGATTAGTCACAAACCTGATGGCTGTTGGTTCGCTTATTAAATTTTTAT